CCCACTTTTTCTTGTGGGCATTTAGTGCTATAAATTTCCCTCTAAGCACTGCTTTAGCTGTTGGTGTGTTTGTACAGTGGCCAGTACCAGTTGTTTCTTTCCACATTTAGTGCTTCTGTCAGGATGTCTTGTAAGACAGGCCTGGTGGTGACAAAATCCCTCAGTATTTGCTTGTCTATAAAGGATTTTATTTCTCTTTCACTTGTGAAGCTTAGTTTGGGTGGTTATGAAATTCTGGGTTGAAAATTCTTTTATTTAAGAATGTTGAATGTTGGCCCCCACTCTCTTCTGGCTTGTAAGGTTTCTGCAGAGAGATTCACTGTTAGTCAGATGGGCTTCCCATTGGAGGTAACCTGACCTTTCTCTGTCTGCCTTTAACATTTTTTCCTCATTTCAACCTTGGAGAATCTGATGTTTATGTGACTTGGGGTTGATCTTCTCATGGAGTATCTTAGTGTTGTTCTCTGTATTTCCTGAATTTGAATGTTGGCCTGTCTTGCTAGGTTGGGGAAGTTCTGCTGGATAATAACCTGAGGTGTGTTTTCCAACTTGTTTTCATTCTCCCTGTCATTTTCAGGTACATCAGTCAAATGTAGGTTTGGTCTTTTCACATAGTCCCATACTTCTTGGAGGCTTTGTTTGTTCCTTTTCATTCTTTTTTCTCTAATCTCATCAGCATGCCTTATTTCAGCAAGAAGGTCTTCAATCTCTGATATCCTCTCTTCCACTTGATCAAGTTAGCTATTGATACTTGTGTATGCCTCATGAAGTTCCATGAAGTTCTTGTGCTGTGTTTTTCAGCTCCATCAGGTCATTTATATTCTTCTCTGAGCTGGTTATTCTAGTTAGCAGTTCTTGTAACCTTTTATCAATATTCTTAGCTTCCTTGCATTGGGTTAGAATATGCTCCTTTAGCTCAGAGGAGTTTATTACCCATCTTCTGAAGCTTACTTCTGTCAATTCATTAATCTAATTCTCCATTAAGTTTTGTGCCCTTGCTGTAAAGGAGTTGCAATCATTTGGAAAAGAAGAGGCATTTTGGCTTTTGGAATTTTCAGAGTTTTATACTGGTCTTTCCTCATCTTCCTGGATTTATCTACCTTTGATCTTTGAGGCGGATGATCTTTGGATGGGGTTTTTGTGTGGGGATCTTTTGTGTTGATGTGGTTGTTGTTGTTGCTTTCTATTTGTTAGTTTTCTTCTAATAGGCCCCTCTGCTGCACGTCTGCTGCAGTTTGCTGGAGGTCCGCTCTAGACCCTCTTCACTTGGGTATCAGCAGTAGAGGCTGTGGAACAGCAAAGATTGCTGCCTGCTTCTTTCTCTGGAAGCTTCATTCTAGAGGGGCATCTGCCAGATGCCAGCTGGAGCTTTCCTGTATAAGGTGTCTGTCAACCCCTGTTGGGAGGTTTCTCCCAGTCAGGAGGCATGGGGATCAGGGACCCACTTGAGAAGGCAGTCTGACCCTTAGCAGAGCTGGTACGCTGTGCTGGTAGAATCTCTCTTGTCAGGATCAGCTGCTCTCTTCAGAGCCAGCAGGCAGGAAAGATTAAGTCAGCTGAAGCAGTGCCCACAGCTGCCCCTCTCTCCAGGTGCTCTGTCCCAGGGAGATGAGAGTTTTATCTGTAAGCCCCTGACTGGGGCTGCTGCATTTCCTGTAGAGATGCCCTGCTGGTGACAGGAATCTAGAGAAGGAGTCTGGCTGCAGACACTTTGCTGCACTGTGGTGAATTCCACCCAGTCCAAACCTCGCAGTCTCGGTACTGTCGGGAAAACTGCGTACTAAAGCCTCATCAAGCTTGATTGGGTCAACTCCAGACTGCTGTGCTGGTAATGAGAATTTCAAGCCAGTGTTTCTTAGTTTGCTGGGCTTGGTGGGAGTAGGACCTGCTGAGCGAAACCACTTGGCTCCCTGATGTCAGGCCCCTTTCCAGGGAAGTGGACAGTTCTCCTGTCTCACTGGGGTTCCAGGTGCCACTGGGGTATGAAAAAAAAAAAAACTCCTACAGCTAGCTTGGTGCCTGCCCAAACAGCTACCAAGTTTTATGTTTGAAACTCAGGACTCTGGTGGTGCAAGCTCACAGGAATTTTTGGATCTGCAGATTGCAAAAATCTGTAGGACAACCATAGTACCTGGAGCAGGTAGCAGTGTCCCTCACGGCTTCCCTTGGCTCAGGGAGGAAGGCCCCCTGGCTCCTTGCACTTCTCTGGTGAAGCAATGCCTGCCCTGCTTCTGCTAGCTTTCTGTGGGTTGCACCCACTGCCTAACCAGTTCCAGTGAGATGAACTGGGTATCTCAGTTGGAAATGCAGAAATCACCCACCTTCTTCATTGGTCTCTCTGGGAGCTGCAGACAGGAGCTGTTCCTATTTGGCCATCTTGGCCCTTACCCAAATGGAGAATTTTTTAAACTACTGATGCCAAGTCCTCACTCCAGACTGATTAAATCAGCAGGTCTGTCCTATGCATGCTGATGTATTTGGCTGAGGTCATGATGTCTGCATCTTATTTTCCAAAGCATTGTGTGTGTATCTATATTTCTACATCTATCTATCTAAATGTTGCTAATGTATATAAATAAGTGTATTGTACTGTTATTCCACCTTTTCTGTATGTTTGACATTTTTCAAAATAAAGATTGAGAAAAAATGATGAGTAACTCCAGGATTGGCTGGGTCATCTGTTGTCACAAAGTTTCTGTGTGATGCTTCTGTCCAGAGCTGGCAAGAATGAGGGCACTTACCGTTTGACACACTGCTTTGACTCTGACTCTCCTAGGAGACTCTCCTATCCTGAGTACAGGGGCCTCATGTGCTTCAGAACTTTGCACTCCCCCATCCTCCAGCCTGATAATGTGTCTGGCATATGGTGGGCACTGTATACATATTTGTAGAGCATAGCCAAGAGGAAGTTACATCCATGCAGATAGGTGAATATGTATTTATTATTCTTTCAATTAATCAGTCTTTTGTCACTTATGGAGTTCCTATTGTTTCATGCATGTTTAGGCATAATGGATCGTCTAACGATCTACAGGGTTTCTCACTCTTGGCAGTATGGAGATTTTGGCCCAGATAATTCTTTGTTGTAGGGGGCTGTTCTGTGTGTTGTCAGATGCTTAGCAGCATCCCTGATCTTTACCCACTAGATGTTAGTAGCGCCATACCTCCAACCTCACAAGTTGCGTTAATCAAAACTTTCTCCAGACATTACCAAATGTCCTCTGGGAACAAAATCTTAACCTCCGGTTAAAAAGCACTGATCTGTAAGACAGTCTGCTTTTGAAAAATCTGAACAGTAATGAAGGAAACAGATACACACACGTGTGTGTGTGTTTATGTGTGCGTGCAATGAAAGATAAGATGTGTGAAGGACTGTAATGTATTAGAATGTTATGAAGCATAAGAAGAGAAAAAGTTAATTCCATTTGGGGGCATTTGGGAAGACATTATTGTAAGCTATGAGCTTGGGTTTCAGTAGCCTTGTGGATGAGAAGCTCCTTCAATGTAATTTCCTTTCCTAAGTTGCTGCCAGCTTATGTCTATATAGTCTGTGGTCACCCATGTTTTCTTCTGATCCTTGTTTCTTAGACAAAGAAACTGAATCCAAACAACTTTGGATTACTTGCGGTAAGAGATGGTTTGCAGCATAGACCTTGAAGCCAGACTGCCTGGCTTTGAATCCTAGTTCTACCAATTTCCTTTCCTAAGCTTCTGCAAGCTTCCATCTATACAGTGGTCACTCATGTTGTCTTTCGATCCTTGTCATTATACAATTCTGCAAGGTAGACGGACAGATATTATTAACTTTATTTGATAGACAAAGAAACTGAATTCAAGCAAGTATGGATTACTTGAGGTAAGAGGTGGTTCACAACACAGAACTTGGAACCAGACTGCCTGGCTTTGACTCCTAGCTCTACCAATTTCCAGTCGTGAGCTTAGGGCTTGTGATTTAACCTTTTAACACCTCAGTGCCCACATATGGAAAAGGAAGCTAATAATAGCTCCTATCATCTCATAGAGTTTTAGTGAGAAATTTACATGTGTCAAATGTTTAGAACAGCACCTGGCCTCTATATATACATTTAAAAAAACTGTGGAAGTGCTTGCTGCTATCACTATTGTTACCAGAGCCATGCAGCAACTTGATGGCTGAGGTGAAGTGATAAATTGGATCTGCAGTCTCTGGGCTCAGTGTTTTCTCCACTGCAGTCTGTTTGCTATTTGAACAAGAAGAAATCAGTGATGGCTCAACTAGCACCATCTGGGAAAAGCAGACCCCATGAATATCATTCTCTGTTTAAACTCTACCATCCAATAGAAAGTCACATGTGTAGATTTTCTAGTAGCCACATACAAAAGAAAAAGAAAAAGAAATGGGTGAAATTGATTTTAGTAATACATTTTATTTTAGCCCAATATATAAAAATATTAGCATTTCAATATGTAATTAATAAAAATTATTGAGATACTTACATTATTTTTTCCATACTGTCTTGAAATCCAGAGTGTACACATACAGCATATCTCAATGAGCCATTTTCTTTTCTTTTTTTTTCCACTCTACAGAATTTATTGGGTTTATAACTAGATGAAGTCATACATGGACAAAATGAAGCACACAGTAGGAACTGAGAGCTGGGGATCCATTACTGGCCTTTGGGGGAGCTCCGAGTGAGGGGCAGCCAACCCTTTCACCCCAGAGGTGTGGCCACAGGGGTGGGAAGGAAAAGGAACCCACCTGGCTTTTGTCACAGAACTCAGAGCCTGGCTAGGCTAGGACAGGCAGGCGGCTGGGAGGGCCGGAGCCTCAGAACCACCCTGCCCAGGGAGTCCAGGGAGCCCAGGGAGCCCAGGGAGCCCAGGGAGCCTGGGGAGCCCAGGGGGCCCAGGAACTGCTCCACCAGTCCCACTTGCAGTGTGCTTGGCCCAGACCTAGACTCAGGGCCTGATGCAAAGGGAAGGCAGCAAAGCAGGAGGGAGGAGACACTGATGTGTGGTGGCGAGGAGGGAGTGGCACCTGGACCTGTGGAAGAGCGTGGGTGGGGAGGTGGGCCAGCTGCCTAGTGGCAGCTAGCAGCGAGTTTCATAAATGCCACTGCAGCCAATGTAGCGCACCCATTTGATGACATCATGGTCACTGTAGTTCAGCTTCAGTTAAAACACCTTCAAGTAGTGCACCTTGAGGCCAGAGGATGCAAATGTCACCTCAGAGTTCATGGAAATGAGGGGTCGAGCCCATTTCTTCTTGACGTTGGTAGGCAGAAGCTCAATCTCTGTGCTGATCTGTGATTCCTTCATACCTGCCATGCGTTTGATCTTCTATACAATGGCGTTCTTGCTGGCCTTGTACTTGGCCTTCTCCTTCATGCAGATCACCTACACCCCACTTGTGTTCAGGGGGATTGGGATCCTCACCTCAGTCTTCTGAGCCAGCAGTGAGGGTTTACAGTTGAACTTGATGACCACCTTGATCTCCAGTTTGGTGCATCCCACTTCTCACACTAGAGTGATGACCCGGAAGGGAAAGATGATATCATTGGTTGTGTGATACCTCATAAGCTCAAACACTGCATCTGGCAGGATAAAGCTGATGCTGCGTTCAGAGTCAAACTTGCTGAGTCACACACACTGGTGGAAGGTGCAGTCATCAATGGCAATTGATTGCTTCCTGCTCTTGCTTGTTTCATCAGCTGTGTCTTTGCCTTGTTTTTCAATGACGATCTTGTCATTCATCCCAAACTTACATTCGGGCATCCCACTCAGGTTGCTCTTCATCACCACCTGGCCCGACACATGGGCACTCAGCACCTGCCCTTATGGGGACATGAGCAGATTCACACTCTCCAGCACATCCAGGAAGAGCTCATTCTGGCGATACCTGATACCCTCTCGCCACCAGCCGATCTGCCCAGTCACCTGGTTGGTGATCTGTGACTGCTCTTCTTTTGTCTGATACTGACTCTTGATGCCGTGCTGGGTGATGAAGGTTTTCAGCATGCCTGTCTCGGAATTCTGTGGGTAGCCAAAGTCTAGAATCTCATCCAGCAGCTCATATATGAGCACAAAATTTTTCTTGATGTTTTCCTGGCTGATCTTGCTAAAGTAGGCAGCCATCACGTCACACATCTTATAGAGGAATTCAAAGACTATGGCAGCATTGACGTTCTGCTTGGTGACTGCTGCCAGCCAGATGTTGGATCGCTTGACATGGAAGAAGCTGGTGTGAGCAATGTTGGTGATGGGGCTGTGCACCTGCTGCCGGGCATGGATAACATTGATGCAAAAGGCGTCCATGGCATTCCTCTGGATGTCATCTCGGTAGACTGGGGAGATGAGCACCTCCCCCTTGTGATTATAGATGAATAAGCCTCCAATCATGGAGGCAGATCAGTCTCCGTGGCCCATCACTCTGAGAACAGACCTGATGTCCGTGGCCCTCTGCTCTGTGGGCCCGGCCACTCTCTGGATCCTAATTTGTCCACCCATCCCCTGCTCCTCTGCCTGCTGCCTTGGCTGTCAATGAGCCATTTTTAAGTGCTCAATAGGCACATGTGGCTTGTGGCTGCCATGTTGGACAGCACAGATTTTCTAAACACTGCAAAGGGCTTTCATGGTGGTGGGACACTCATATTATTTCTGACTTATGCCTAGGGGATTACAAATCAGAGCAAATAGTAGAAGTCTTCTTGAGTTTTATTCAGGACACTGGATCCTCCTCTTCTTCTTCTTCCTCCTTTATCCTTCTCTTCTCCCCCTCCTTCTTCCTCTTCTTTTGGGTGAGAAAGCCAGCTATTTCTTAGGGACGGGGGCTCAGGAGCTCTTGGTGGGGCAGATCTGCTTCCTCTTCACCATCACAGGCTTCTGGCTGTGCAGGATGGCGCTGGCCCTGCTGATGGGCAGCCATGCGCAGGTTGGGGGCGGGTACTTGTTCTTGCAGATCTTGCGTCTGATGCTGCTGAGTTTGGCACAAGCATTCTTGCTGATGGTGGTCCACACATAGGAGGTAGCGGGCGTCCACTGGCCTGATCTCCACTTTGTGACCACCAGGACATCTTTGCCATCGGCTGCCGGCTCCACGACCACAGTCTTGCGGCGAATCAGCCCATTGTAGTGGAAGGAGTTGCGGGCCTTCAGGTTACTGGGCTCGTTGCTGTAGGTCTGCTTATTCCTCTTGATCAGGAAACCGGAGCAGTTCCACGTGACCATCCATTGCAGATGCGCAGAACTGGCGGCGGCTCCTCTCACAGAGGTGGCCAGAGGTGGAATGCACTGGATCCTCTTCCGCTTGTTCCTATCCCAACTTTATCAAAACGAAGTGACTATATTTTTTTAAAATGGTAGTTCATTCATTCATCAGCCTTCCAATCTTGATTTAACTTGAGCACAGATTTCAGTCAATCATGACACAACAGCTCCAGATGCCACCCTGCAAGATGTTCAGAGGCTCATACATAATCTCTGTAGCCCAGGGCTCCTGCTTACTCTGCCAGATGAAGCCGTGAGCACCCTTTCTGCCATCAGGCCACCTTGCCACCTCTTTCCATGGCAAGCCTGGAGCCACCTGCCCTGACTCTGCTGGTGGTGACCTCAGATTGCCTCCTAGGACCTCCTGAGCTAGCCAGCATCATCTGCTCCTCTACCATCCCCGGACTGGGGAAGGGCTGGAGGCTGAGAACAATTAGCGACCTGTCTGAGGCCAGGCAGCAATTTGTCACCACTGATGGAACACAAGCTGGCAGGCCCTGGGTGGCCTCTTTAAAATGCTCTGCAGTGCAAACATTGCACACTCCTGGCATTTTTATAAGAGCAGTGCCCAGGACAATAGTAAAGTAATTCTTACTGTGCTTACTGTGAGTCACATGCTGTTCTTAGTGCTTTACTTAACTGACAAAATCCTCACAGCAGCCCACTGAGGCTGCTGGTCTTTTTAATCCCACTTTCCAGATGAGGAAACTGAAATCTAGAGAAGCACATGGCTTGTGGAAGGTCACTAGATATAAGAGGCAAAGATGAATCAAACCCAGACAGAGTCTGAGTGCCTCGTTGTGCCACAGTGAGCCCTTCAGACCTGGGTTAGGCCACCAGCCTTTTCTTTTCAGTGAAAAATGTAGGTTCCAAGAGGAGAGGGTTTCTGTGCTTTTGTTCCCTGCTGTGTCCTCACTACCTAGAACCTATTGGTTGACTGGCTGCTACCTCCTTGCTGCTGGTGGTATCCAATCTTAGCTCTAGACCACAACTCAGGCCAATGGTTGTTCCACGGGGCACTTGTCCTGCACATGATGTGACTTCATGCCTTGCCTATTGGTTGCACTTGATTTTTGGCCTCTACAGCCTCTATGCAAATAATCTGAGACCTGCCTAAAGGCCAGAGAGGCATTCAGTTGCTTGAGGCAACTCAGGCCCAAGGCAGGTCTGATCTTGACGTAAGCACCATTGAGTCTTATTTCCCCACCCTCTGAATGATGAGGCTGGACCAGGTGAGGATGGAGTATCAATATTCCCACCTCTTTACTCCTGGAAGGCTAGGATTGGGGGATGGAGGAGTTGAGATGGGGTACAGGCTGATGGTACAAGGATTTCTGTGAGCAAGAAAATGAGCTCTGTGCCAGCCTTTATGGCTGGTTACAGGGAAGAGTGCCTGGCACCAACTACCCATTAAAAGGCCTTTACAATCTAGCTTGGATGTAGCATGTTCCCAGTTGCCCTCCTCCTCCCACCCCTGGCTCTAGCCCAGGCCAGCCTGACTCCAGGCTCCACGTTGTTTCCATACTGGCTGCTGGTGCAGGTCCACCTGGGGAGAAATCACCCTGGCTCCCTTTCCACTCCCCTAACATCTCATTTTCTGCATCTGAAGACCTCCTGATCTTCCTTCATCTGAATACCCACCAAGGGCCCCTTGAATGGTGGAGAGTCTCAAAAGGTGCAGCCTCAGGAGGGCCCTGGAGAGCACAGGGGCCCTCGTTGTCTGGGAATCTGCAGCCTGGCTATTCCACTTCTTCCCCTGTGCGGGCTCAGGCTCCCATCGCAGGATGTGTACATGCCCCAGGTCTGGGGCCCTCACACTCCGTATCCTGCTTTCAGTGGGAATAAGAGATCCCAGGAGAGGAGGCCTGGAACTTTGTGGGGAGAAGCTGGAGAGCTGCATTGGGTAGGACACAAGGCCAGTTAAACCCAAGTCCATGGGTAGGTTTCTTCGTGAACCTGTTATCCTTTGATTCTCATATGAGGATGTTCTCATGATATCACGGGGCCCTGACCAATTCTTTCTCTCATGCATATACATGTGTGCACATGCCCAGATACACACATACACACACACACACACACACACACACACACACACACACACACACACCCCAAGCCCCAGATCTGAGGTCTTCAAAAAGAGCATGAGGGCAAACCTCTCAGAGGATTTAATGTTGTGCTTCCAAATGTGCTCAAACAAAGTCATTTATCTGGAAACTCTATTTCTCCCAGAGGCTGTTATTCTTTAACTCCCTCAAAATTAGGGGTCAGTGACTCTAAATGCAGAATGACAGTTAACCAACTGTGTAACACTGGCCTTAAGGTTCAAAGGCCTTAATAGAAAAACCAACTTTTACCCCAAACATTAGCAGACCAGATGTGGTTTGCAGAACCTTCTGAAGCTTTAAGTGGTCAGATGCTATCTGACCCTTCCGGGACCACCCTAATAAGTCAGGATACAGACTTCAGATGGGGAGCCTCCCTCACTACAGCCTGATGGCTCATCTTCCAAAGGGCTTTTCATACTTTTCAAAGAATGAAAGCATTGCGAACAAACACAACTGAAATCAAGAGATTTGGATGCATACTAGACAAGAGAGATATAACACAAGTCCTTCTAACAGATTGTGGACATGGTGGGCTAGACATGGAGACAGGCTCAGAGCACAGAGAGAGGTGGGATGAAGAATGTCTACCACAACCCAGGGGAGGCTTGGGTTTCAGGAGCAGGTAACCCCAGGGCTGAACCTTGAGGGTAAGTAGGCATTAGCCAGGGGATCCCTAGCAGAAAAGCCAAGTGTTCAGGTGTGGTCAGCATTGCTGGAGGGTCAGCTAGGACACCCTTGGCAGAGATGTGTTGCAGTCCCCAGGCAGCCATCATGGAAAGCCTTATGTACTGTGGTGGGGAGCTTGAACTTCATCCTGAAGGCAATGAAGCTCCAGGAGAGCATTGTAACTAAGGCAGTAATAAGTAATACAGACAAACAATAGTAATAGCAAACATTTGTGAAATGAATACTTTTTAGATGTCAGGCATTGTTCTAAGCACTTTGCATGTATTTGTTAACTGATTTAATCCTTTGTAACAGAACAATATCAGAACAATACTGATATTATTCCCATGTGACAGCTGAGGAAACTAAGGCAAGGAGTGCCCACACAGTCATCTAGCTCCTAAGTTGTGGAGCTGGTATTTGAACCTAGGAAGTTTGATTCTTGAGCTCATTCTTTCAGCCACTCTGCTATTATATTTTATAGCCATTTCTGTTCAAAAGGGGATTTTAGGTGATTTATAATATAACCTAATGCACAGTAAGCAAACTAAAAATAAAATTCAACCTGAAAGAACAGAAACAGAACAGCAAGGAGACATTTATGACAAGAATTCAAGATCAGAAATCACTAAACTTGAGCCCTAATTTTCATCTGATTTTTTTGATTAAAAAGTGTAATATTGTCAAGTTACAATCCTATTGCTCTTTGTGTGTTTATCAGGAGACCCATGGTGCTTCCATACACTGAATTCTAGAAGGAAATTTGTTGTTTAGTCCCTGATATGAACTGTGATGTAATGTATAAGATGTATTAGCTTCCTAGGGCTACTATAACAATGTAATGCAAATTTGGTTGTTTAAAACAACAGAAATTTAGTTTTTCACATTTCTGGAGGCCAGAGGTCCAAAATCATGGTCTTGTCAGGGTTCGTTCCTTCTGGAGGCTGTAAGGGAGACTCCATTCCATGACTCTTTCTCAGCTCCTGCTGGCTGCAGGCAAGCCTTGGCATTCCCTGGATTACACTTCCATCTCAGCCTCCATCTTCCTATAGCTTTCTCTTCTGTGTCGCAAAACTCCCTCTTCTTCCTCTTATAAAGACACCAGTCATTGGATCAAGGCCCCAGCCTAAATCCAAGATGATCTCATCTTGAGATCTTTAGCTTAATTCCATTTGCAAAGACCTTATTTTCAAGTAAATTTCCAAAAGACTTATTTCCAAGTAAATGAGGACACATTCATAGGTATCAGGGGTTAGGACTTGGATGGATCATTTTTGGATGCCAGTATTCAATACACTCTAAAAGGCATTTAATAGCAATTCTGCAAAAAATAATTGAAAGGGTTATTTTATGGCTGTTTCTCACAGTGACAAAGCCAAGGGTAGAGTTTTGTTTTCATGGTAATTCAGCTCACTTGAGTTGGGTAGTTCCAACTAGTTGGGCCACCAAGGGGTTTTCCTGTCCTCCAAAAGAGGCTCCTGAATCGAATGTCTTATCAGTTATGTATCTTTGGTGGGCAGAACTTCACTTGGAGTCAGGTGATTCACAGAACTCCTGGTATGAAGCAGAGTTTTTGTCTAGGACCCATTGATGGGAGGCTGCCTAATCTAGTACAGAGGTCACTAACTTGGGCACATGTGAGAATCACCAGGGGAGATTTTGCAAAAACACATGCCACGGTTGCATGCCAGGCAAATGAAACTGAATCTCTGACTCTATTGTCCCTTCTTTTTTATTGACTTTCTAGTGGGAATCTCCATTTATGATGGGGTGGTTGGGACCACTTGTTCCAAGCTGTTGCTGGTTTCCTTTCAGTCTCGTGGCATATGGAGGGGGAGGGGGCACATGACCTGTCAAAGTAGGGGCGGCCTTGAGATTGTATTTGGATTTGCTTTCATGGCTCCTTTCCAAAAAAGAACACATTTGTTCCTCTCTGGACTTCAATATCCTCATCTGTAAAGTGGAGTAAGCCAATTTATTTATAGCTATTGTTTTGTGAGACAGGGTCTTGCTCTGTCTCCCAGGCTGGAGTGCAGTAGTGATGTCTTTAGTCACTGCAGTCTTGAACTCCTGGGCTCAAGAGATTCTCCCACCTCAGGAGGCTCGAACTACAGGCACGCACTGCCGTACCAGGGTAATATTTGTATTTTTTGTAGAGACGGGCTTTTGCCATGTTGCCCAGGCTGATCTTGAACTCCTGAGCTCAAGTGATCTGCCTGTCTCAGTCTCTCAAAGTGCTGGAATTACGGGCATGAGCCACTGTGTCCAGCCTGAATAAGGCGATTTAACTCATAGAATTGTTATGAAGATTAAATGACAGGTCATATGTAAAACACTTCACACAGCATCTGACAGATGTGGAGGAAGAGAGAACTGTACTAGGGGCATTGTGGTTTGTTCCAGACCATTGGTGTGCCAGGGATTTCTGGTAATGATCACTCTTCACTGGAGGAGAACAAGAAATAAATAACCACTGTGGCTCCTCTCTCCAGAGCTTATGAAGAAAAGCTCCGATCACCTGGCCTTCTCTTCTCTTATTGACAAAGTTATTGATTTTACCTTTGTTCTTCAGCAATCATTGTTCTCCAGGAGAAAAAGCTGTTTGTTTAATAAGACTCCTATGCCCTGCTGGAACAGTGAATATTGAGAAGGGCCTTAGGAGGCTCTGATGAAAAACAGAGGCTCCTAAATAAGCCAGGTCCTCTGCTCACCCAGTGACCTAGCCTGGACTTCAGAACAAATCACCTGAAGCCTGCATATCTCAAGAGTTTAATAGTACAAATTTCCCAGGGATGTTTTGAGGGCAGCAGCTCATTTTCAAGTAAGAATTTTCCCAGAAGTAACAAGCATATCTTCACACTGGGCCTTTCTTAGGTGAAGTTTATTATGAAAACAGCGATTCTTCTAAAATATTATCTACCCAAAGACTAGCATGCAAAGTCTTCCAAGATCTAGCCCCAGCCTACCTTCCAGATGAAACCATTATCTACTGAACCCTCTATGCTCTAGCCATGTGTATTAGCCTTCTTGGGCTGCCATAACAAAATACATGGACTGGGTGGCTTAACCAGCAGAAGTTTATTTTCTCACAGTTCCAGAGGCTGAAAGCCCAAGATAAAAGTGCCAGTTTCTGTTGAGGGCTCTGTTTTTCGCTTGTAGGCAGCCACACGGTGTCCTTACATGGCCTTTCCTTTATTATAGCTCTCTGTTGTCTCTTCTTATTAGGACACTAATCCCATTAAATCAGGGCCCCACCTTTATGACCTCATTTACTCTTAATTACTTCCTTTCTTACTCTGATCACAGTCATACTAGGGGTTAGCCTTTCAACATATGAATACTGGAGAGACACAACATTCAGTCCATAACACCAAGCTGCTGACCCTCACATAAGACTTGGGCTCTCCTACTGCCAGGGCTTGGCTCCACTCATTTCCTTGACCTGGAATGGCTTTTGCCCCGTGAATTCATATTCCAGCCCTCTCTGCTACAGATGCCACATCCTCCGTGAAACATTCTCGGTCTCCTTCTCCATGCTTCCTCCAGTTGGAAACTGGAAGTTCTCCAGGCTTGTTTCGAGTTTACACAGGATTTCTTCTCTATTTCTCCCCTCATATTCTTGTCCTGGCCCACTCTCTACGCTGTGGCTTTCAGTCCTGGCTGTGCAGAGTTATTCCAGAGATTTTAAAAGTTCCAGTGCTAAGCCCAATGCCAGACCTCCTGAAGAAGAATCTCTGATGATGGGACCCAGGATCACATGTCTTAAGGATGAGACTGTATTAATATGTGGCAATCAGGGGGTAAATGCAACTGCATTAGGAGCAAGCTCTGTGGGAATGTCATCCTTGCAGGAAAAACATGGTGCCTTTCTGTGCTTGGTGTTATTTCTTAGCTCTTTGCTGACATCTTCTTTAGTGGGACATTTCATAGACCCCCTGGCCACTAGGGTTCCGGGTGCAAATTGGGCTCTGCCAGTGAGGCAATGAGATGCACTGTGTGCTCATCTTTGGGATTACAGCAGGCAAACTTAACAACAGATCACCAAAGAGAAATAAGAAATGCTATTTATCGAGCTCCAGTGAAGTGCTAGAAACTGTGCTAGATGTTGAGGTGGTAAAATATACATAACAAACTCACCATTTTAACAACTTTAAATTGTACAATTAAGTGGCATTTAGGACATTCACAATGTTGTACATTTATTACCACTCTCTAGTTC